AAAATCCAGTACTTCATTTTTCTATGGGAAAAAATATCATTTTATACATTTACTAGTAACAATGAATGGATACCAATTGCAAATACAGTATTAGACAAGTCTGGAAGCTTCACATTTTTGCTGTATTCACTAAATAAAAGTACAATAGACATGCTAAATTTGATCACTCTCTAGGGTATCAGATACTTTTTCCATTACAAGTTACCCTTGCCTAGGAAAAAAACTCACACCACTGCTTCTAAACCTGCAAAGATATGCTTAAAGCATGTGGGCAAGAAAGATGGAGGCTGGGTAGAATTTTGAGCGACCTGGGTTTCAGTGATATGCATGGTTGGTGAAACTAAAATAATGTAAAATAAGCAAATATATCTTGGGAAAAATCTAGGTCACCCTTTTTAAAGTTTCTACAAAAGCCCAGGATATACATGTAAGTTCATGGAAACCTGAACTTGCTTACTGCCACACTTAAAACTGAACCCCTGCCAGCAAGCTAGAGTTAAGAAACTAGAAATTTATTAACATTTCTCAGTGCCCTCATGGAAACAGATTCCCTGGGATCCCCTTACAGAAGTCAAAACCAGCTAAACCAGACCACCCAGCTACAACGCTATGCACACTTACCTAAGGCTAAATGCCAATGAACTCAGTGGCACTTGAATAGTCCTGCATAGGATTGCACTACACAACTGGTTTGTTTGTTGTGTAGATATACTCCAAAGATCAAGTTTCTAAAATTTCAACAACTCACGTATTACCAAGTGTTTTTCCAACAAGACTACATACTTTTTTGCTTTTTACAATAGCAAAAAGAAAGAACGAACTGAGGCAACGGTGCTGGCTCCAGTTGTATAACAAGAAAGGTGTGGGGGGGGGGTTGCAAATATACTAAGGCACTTTTAATACAGTGCAGCACTAACTAAGTCGATACTGAAGTAAGACCTGTGAAATTTAATTACAGCTACTCCCTACTAATTGTGGCTAGAATCATCTCTGCTAATTATCCTATAGAAGTTATGAAACATGACAACAGGATTTCTATAGCAAGGGAGTACCCAGTTCAAAGGTTGCCTCACTAGGTAACTTTAGGTGAACTCACTAGGTAACTAGGCAACTGACTCTCTGGGCTACCTTACAGAGTTGCTGTTGTAATCCATCAATGAAATAATGGGCATGAAACATGTTGAAACTTATTTATAAATACTACATAATATCGTCATCAGGATTGGTTTCAGGATATGGGGACACCGGTGGCAACTGCTAACCACTGGGTGAGGTGGAAAGTGGAGAGTCAAACAGCAGGTGGAGCCAAAGCCAGTAAAAGGCAGAGCCAACTAAATCTAGTTTTATTCCCATCCTCCTTCCTGCTGAGTTCTACAATGGCAGCACTGAGACTAAGCAAGTAGAAGCTGACAGCCAGGGCCACCCCCTAGAATGACTAAGTAGGAAGACAGGTAAGTTGGGGCTGGCCATGGCTGACTGAGGTTGGAGGAGCTGGTGTCCTATTTGCCCTAATGGACCAGTCACCACTCATCTTGCTTTTCAGGCCAAGGGAGCCGGTGTTTGTCCACAAACAGCTTTCTGGGTCATGTGGCCAGCACAACGTTTCTGGCACAACAGGACACAGTGACGGAAGCCAGAGCGCATGAGAATGCTGTTTACCTTCCCACTGCAGTGATATCTATTTATCTACTTGTACTGGTGTGCTTTCGAACTGCTAGGTTGGGAGAACCTGGGACAGAGCAACAGAAGCTCAGCCTGTCATGAGGATTCAAACTGCCGACCTTCTGATTAGCAAGCCAAAAAGGCTCAGTAGTTTAGACCACAGTGCCACCCGCTCCCAATTCCACTGTGTACCATGAAGGGAGGGTGCATAAATGTATAGAGGCAGCAGCTCACACAATACACACTTGCTTTGGGTGGCACTGCGGGGATGACCAAGCCGCACAGCTATCCAGAAGTTCTCCAGCTGCCACCATACCCAACCACTGGATATGCTACCTGCAGCTAATGGGAGTTGGGGTCCACAACATCCGGAGACCATCAGGTTGGGGAAGTATAGTCTGAAGCAGCCTTACTCAACCTTGGGTCCCCAGGTGTTGCTGTTAATCCTTTACCTTTACTCCCATCAACTTCCCCAATAATGGTTGGGAGTCAAACTCTGCCAAGAGTGTACGGTCTGACAAATTCCTCCATTGCATCTCTTACAATTTCATTTCTCAGAAGGTGGAAGAACCAACAAGAGAATCATCTATCTTGGACCTGGTCCTCACCAATAGGGAGGAACTGATTGATGAAGTGGAAGTGCTCGGAAACTTGGGAGGAAGTGATCAAATTCTCATGGGTTTCAGGATACAGAGGCATGGGAAAACTGAGTGTAGTTGGACATGTACTCTGGACTTTAAATAGGCCGATTTCAAAAAGCTGAAGCAGCTACTGGGTGTGATCCCATGGTCAGAAATACTCAATGAGAAGGGAGTCCAAGAAGGATGGGAGTTTCTAAAAGGAGAAATATTGAAGGCCCAAATACAGACAATACCAAAAGGAAGCAAAGTGGGAGGCATCTAAGGAAACTGATGTGGCTGCATAAGAAGCTTACAGATGAGCCGAGTTAAGAAGGGCATGTATAAAAAATGGAAGAAAGGGGAAATCACAAAGGAGTGTGGCAACAGTTGCAGGGGGAAAGTCAGGCTGGCTAAAGCTCAGAATGAGCTCAGGCTTACAAGAGAGGTTAAAAATAATAATAAAGGTTTCTTTGGCTATGTCTGAAGTAAGAGGAAGAACAAGCAAGTGGTAGGTCCTCAGCATGGGGAATACGGAGAAATGCAATTGGGTGACAGAGAAAAGGCGGAACTACTTAACACCTACTTTGCCCTTGTCTTCACCCAAAAGGAAAGTGATGCCCAACCTGGTGATAACAGAATAAATGATGTAAGGAGGGAGCTGCAGCCCAAGATAGGAAAAGAGGTAGTAAGGGAACACCTAGCTACTTCAAATGAATTCAAATCTCCAGGGCCTGATGAGCTGCATACAAGGCTACTAAAGGAGCTTGTGGATGTAATTTCAAAGCCTTTGTCTATTTTCTTTGAGAATTCTTGGAGAACAGGTGAGGTTCCTACAGATTGGAGGTGGGCAAATGTTGTCCCCATCTTCAAAAATGGGGGAAAGGAAGACCCAGGTAACTACCAACTGGTGAGCTTGACATTGATACCAGGAAAGGTCCTAGAACAGATAATTCAACAGTCAGACTGTAAACATTTAGAAAAGGATGCTGTGATTACTAAGACCCAGCATGGGTTTCTCAAAAATAAGTCATGCCAGACCAATCTGATTTCTTTCTTTTTATGGAACTACAAACTTGATGGATCAGGGAAATGCTGTGGACATACTGTATCTTATTTCAGACAAAGTCCCCCATGATATTCTCACGAGGAAGCTGATAAAATGTGAGTTGAATGAGGTAATTGTTAGGTGGATTTGTAGCAGATTGACTGACCAAACCCAAAGACTACTCATTAATGGTTCCTTGTCATCCTAGAAAAAAGTGACAAGTGGGGTGCTGCAGGGTTCTGTTATGGGCCAGTTGTTGTTCAATGTCTTTATAAATGAATTGGATGAAGGAATTGAGGGGATGCTCATCAATTTGCAGATGACACCTAACTGGGAGGGGTAGCTAATGCTGCAGAAGACAGAATCAGAATTCAAAATGACTGACTGGAGAACTGGGCACAAGCTAACAAAATGAATTTCAATAGGGACAAATGTAAGGTTCTGTACTTAGGCAGGAAGAACCAGATGCACAAATATAGGATGGGGGACACCTGGATTACTAGCAGTATGTGTGAAAAGGATCTAGGGGTCTTGGTGGATCACAAGCTTATCATGAGTCAACAGTGTGATGCAGCGGCAAAAAAAATCTAATGCTATTCTAGGCTGCATCAACAGAGGTATAGTGTCCAGATCAAGGGAAATAATAGTACCACTCTATTCTGCCTTAGTCAGACCGCACTTGGAATACTGTGTCCAATTCTGGGCACCACTAAACATCTGACTAAACATTCAAAAAGTATTTCTGACAGTAAGAGCTGTTCAGCAGTGGAACAGACTCCCACAAGAGGTAGTAAACTCTCCTTCCTTGGAGGTCTTTAAACAGAGGTTGGATGGCAATCTGTCATGGATGCTTTAGCTGAGGTTTTGCATTGCAGGAGATTGAACTCGATGACCCTTGGGGTCCCTTCCAACTCTAAGATTCTATGTTCCTATGATCTCTAGCTAGCAGGACCAGTGGGTCAGGGTGATGGGCATGAGACTCTTAATCTCAGGGTCAGGAGTTTCAGCCTAACGATGGGCAAAAGATTCCTACATGGCCGGGGGCTGGACTGGATTACCCTTGTAGTCCCTCCCAACTCTACAATTCTATGATTCTATAATATTGATACTTCAATCCAGCATGGAACTCTCAGGAGGTCCCCCACCCCCCAAAAAAGTTAACCAATAAACCTCAAAATTACCAAGTTGACTTCAAATCTAACAAAGAGCTTCACCCATCACTGATGTTTCCCAAAAATGTTTATACTGTACTGTATATTCTAAATGGAAAGTGCAAAAAAAGAAAAGGGTTGTTGGCTTGCCCTAATACTGTCCAAGTTTCATTACGATCTGATGAGACTCCTGGCCCGTTCTGTTTTCAGCAGCAGCTTCAGGAACAGGATCATTTGGGGGCCCAAAGATGAGAAAGGCTGGTTCCCCTGCCTGCTATAAAGAGCAAGAGCAGCAAACGCCGCCCTCTCTCTTGCCGGCTCCCCGAGACCAGACCCCAGAGATGAGGCGACGGAGTTTACCCGACACCTCCTTATAGGCCCCCCCCCTATTTTTTCTCCTTCTAGACTCCGGACACCTGACCGTGAAGGGGGGCCATGCTAGGATCCCAAGGGCGCTCTCGAGATACAAGGGCCACCTTTCAGAGGGAGGCGCGCAGCCTCGGCCAAGAGCCCCGCGCTCACCTTTGGCGGTCTCGGTCGGGTAGAGCTTCTGGGCCTTGTTGAGGAAGCGCAGCGCCCGCTCCCGGTTGCCGGCCTCCAGGGCCTCGCGGGCGATCTCGATGCATTTCTCCGCCTCGTCGCGGTTCCCTTCCATGGGCCTGTCCTTCCTCCGCCTCCGCCCGCCGCAGCGCAGGGAAAAGGCGCCTGACGGGGCCAGCCGGGCGGGCGGGCGAGCGCCGCCGGGGCGCTGAAGGAGGCCGGGGGTGGCGGGGTTGGCGAGAGGGGCGCTCGCCGGGGCCTTTCCGCGGGCCGCCTCACTCCGCGCCTCGGAGGCCGCTGCCGGCGGCGACGGGCGCCCTCCGCTGCATCGCCTTCCGCTTCTCCCGTCAGCGACGTCGGCTTAAGGCCGCTTGCTCGACGCACCGGAGCCGGCCGGGCCCAGCACCACCGCCGCCGCCGCTCTCGCTTCCGGGGACAGGCTCCGTGACCGGTCGCGAGGGTCGCTTTGCGCAGGCGCGGCCGAAAGGAGCGCTCACCTCCCAAATGCCACGACGCGAACGCAGCTTCTCCGAGCGACCAGTCGGTGGCGCAGCCCAACCCCGGCGGGCAGATGGGCTCAGGGGACAACTTATCTGCCTGCTCCTCACCTTTCAATACACTTCAAGATGCTTTTTCTGGGTGAAGAGTATTTTCTTTAGTACCTTACGGTATTAGACCCAAGCTGTGGTTTTAGGACAAGGTGAATTAGATCTCACTTTCCCGGAAATGCAAGATGTTAAGAGGACCACATCTAGTTTTTTAGGAATGTGCAACAGGGATTGGGAAACTGTGGCCCTCCAGATGTTGGACTCCCAACTCACACCATGCTGGCTACATGGATTTATTGCTGTTTTTAAATTGTCATAACCCATACTGCTGCCTCATGGTGGAGTGTTAAGAAATCGGTAATATTCATCAACCCATCCTGCACCTGCTTTTCAACTTCATACAGGCTGCTTAAGCCAACTTTCACTCAAGTGCACTCTGAAATGTTTTATTTTCTGTGCTTTAGTAGGCCCCAAAACTCATGTAGCTAAACTTGCACAATCCACTCCAAGAGGCCAAGCTTCACAGAAGTACAAAACAAGCCTCTTAGAAAGACCCTAAGAAGCCCAATGAATCCAAAACGGTCCAGTGGGGGTGTTGGGGGACTGAATGCAATGATGATGCTTGGATAGGAAGCTCCCTTCCAACATTTACTGTACACCAGGAGGAGGTAACAATTTAGGGTTTCCCAAAGTTGTGTATCCAGCTGTTTTTGGACAACTTCCATAATCCATAGCTAGCAGGACCAGTGGTCAGGGATGATGGGAACTAGTCCAAAAACTACTGGAGACACAACTTTGGGAAACCCAGAAGAGTAAGGAGGAAGCACTGCACAGAAACTGCTGGTTTCTAATTAGGCGTGTATTTAGAAAAGGTCAGTTTTTTATCACTTTAAAGAGCCCCATCTCTGGAATAAAAAAATGTAAATGTAAAATACTTCTAGTACAGTAGTTGGTTCTTTGGAGATAGTATATGAAACAAGAATCTGCTTGAAGTGTGGCAGGCTGTTCTGCCTACATCATCACCCCTTTTAGAGAGACCAATTATTCATTCCTACTTTATGAGACAAAATGGAATCACCCATTGTTTCCCCCTTACAGCATATGCTGTACATGAACACTTCCCTGTGTTAATTGGCCAACTGCCAATAAATGCAAATTACCAAGTACCTACATGATTAGCAATTACTATTGCTGAACCAATGCTGTCCAATTTTTGCACCTACGTTTACCTTAGCTTTCCTCTGGTTACACGCAGACACTGGTCTGTGTTAGGAACTAGTCAGTTCAAATTAATTGCAATTCCACTTCTTAAAGACACAAGTAAAATGATAAAAATGTAATAATGTAACATTTATTGAACTCATTGACCAGAATGGAATAAAGGTCTGTTGTTTCTGCTTGTCAGAATGGTTATTCTTATTTAACTACAAGAGATTGACAGCAGCAACAGCGTTTTAATACCTCTAGTTGTTTTTAATTATTTCATAAAATGCTTGTGCCAATCCTTTGTAGTTAAATTTTAACTGAGTAAAGCAACTTCAAGCATAAAAAATGAGCAACAATGTCAAGAATTTCATTAAAATCCAACATATCTAAAACAGTCAAGAACCACGACAACAGCTTCTCTGAAGCCATGTAACACTTAAATAAGGTTAAGACTTCAAATATAGAATTTTGGTTTGTTAGAAAGCTTGATGGGCTCCAGCTTCAAGGTTACAGAAAGGCAAAAAGTGTTTCACAGATGCAGTCCACTGGAAATCCACCAACACTGGACAACTGAGCATTTGAGTCCCAAGTTAATAAGGAATCCCATGTTCCTTCTTTACACTGTTTTCTGCTGTCCTTTCTTTCCAATCAGAGATTTATGGATATGTGGAATTACACCTGTGGGAAGGAAATAAAAAGACTGATTCAAATTATGAGATCACCAACATGATTAGATTATTAAGTGCTAAAATGAAGCCACATTACTAACTGTGGCGATGGCAGACTAAGTCACTTAAATTGTCACTTACCCCCACCAGCAATTGTTGCTTTGATTAGGGAATCCAGTTCTTCATCACCTCTTATTGCAAGCTGTAAGTGACGGGGAGTGATTCGTTTCACCTTCAAGTCTTTGGATGCATTTCCTGCTAATTCAAGAACCTGAAACAGTAGTTACTGTTAAGTATACCTTAAAAGTGGGACCTGAGAAAACAGTACATTATATTCTCAGTCTAACAGCAGTTCTGGGTGCAGGTCAGCAATGGCTTCCTCCAATTTAGCCCATCTCTTTACAAAACACCCCTCCCACTTTCCAAATAACATTTAATGGCTCCTAGAGAACAAGCCTCTTGTTTCAGACATGTCCAGTATAGTACTAATCACACAGGGTTAAGAGTATTGGGGAGTGTCAAAGTGCCCTTATGGTAGCTGTTGGGCTTCAGTTACCTTTGGAGGGCACGGTGGTGTCTTCCCCTGGTCTAAACAAGTGGTTTTTGGTTTTAGTAAAAAAAGTCATGTTCTTTCAAATTTAGAAGCTTAAACACCTGCGTACCTAGGGCATCCCACCAGCCTCAGTTATGTGGAAGCGATTTTTGTTGACTTCTTGTCACTTTCAAACTATAAGGAACACAACCAGTCATGTTCCTTAACAGAGGAAATTATAAAGAAAAACAGGAAGCTTCCTTATACAAAGGAAACTACTTGTCCACCTAGGTTAGTGTTGCCTACACCACTCTTTGCCAACCTGGTGTACTCCAGATGTTTTGGAGTGCAACTCCTATCAGTCACCTGTGCTGGATGGGGTTGATATTTGTAGTCCAAAGTATCTGGAGAACACTAGGCTGGTGTAGACTCAACACCAATGGCTCTGTGTTTAAGAAGCCTTCCTAATCCTGGCTGGCAACTGAACCCTTCTACATGCAATGCATGGGCTAGAGCCCTTACACAACAATTCCTGATGAGCAAATTTCAGACAAACAAATCATGTTTCCTTAAGCTTAATAGTTTGGGATTTTTCATACATTGTGGACTGCTCCAATCTTTGTTGAAAAAGCAGATTTAAAATACATTAAATAATACCAGCATGTTTTCCAAAAGCATACAGCCTCAGTGGGTTCTTAGTGGTCAGGATTAGTAACTTACAGGATTTTACTATCTTGCACTTTTCAATATGGGGCATTTTATTGGGATAACAAGCTATATTTTATTGTGCATGTGCAATGCAGAGTGGTTTCTCTCCTTTCCAGATTCTTACCTCAGCTGTGAGGTACTCCAAGATAGCAGCACTATACACAGCAGCTGTAGCTCCCACACGTCCATGACTAGTAGTCCTTGATTTTAGATGCCGATGAATACGACCCACCGGAAACTGCACACACAGAAAAGTAGTCAAGGCCCAAATAAATACCAGTAGTTTCATACCCAATCTTAAAAAGGTAAAGGGATCCCTGACCATTAGGTCCAGTCGTGGCCGACTTTGGGGCTGTGGCACTCATCTCGCTTTATTGGCCGAGGGAGCCGCCATACAGCTTCCGGGTCATGTGGCCAGCATGACTAAGCCGCTTCTGGCGAACCAGAGCAGCGCACGGAAATGCTGTTTATCTTCCCGCCGGAGCGGTACCTATTTATCTACTTGCACTTTGACATACTTTTGAACTGCTAGGTTGGCAGGAGACCCAATCTTAAAAGCCTCAAAATTAGTCTTTAACAGATGACGCTAACACACAGATCTCCATATTTTCATGGGAATATCTAGAAGCCAGTCTATCTATTAAGTGCGCAGTAGGGAAGTGAAGCACGGACGCTCCCTCCATTGCAGAATGTGTCAAGACATAACCCCCACCCAGGGGGTCTTCCACTTTAAACCTACACATACATACCTGTAAGCCAGCCCTTTGCGAACGTGACACTGTTTTGGTCTTAGTCTTGCCAGAGTCTTTCCCAGCTTTGCCGCCAGCCTAGTGCACAAAATTAAGTGTGGAAGAATCAATACCGGTCGTATCTACCACCCCTAGAACCACGTGCTTTACTTTCCCGGCTGTTGAAAGAGAAATAGGGCGGCGGGGAAATCTCACAGCTAACTAGAAGCAGCCCGCGCATGCGCACATTTGGTCGCGTTTCACTCGCAGCCCGCTCCCCCCTCACAGTCGCGCCCACTTAAGCAGCCGATTGGACGCGCATGCGCCAGTCGCCGCCACGAGCCGGCTGCGCGGCGCATGCGCCTCAGCAGGGACCTCATACCCGTCCGCTATGTCTGTGACCGCGCCCCTTTTCCTCCTTATCTATATTTCCCCTCACAGCTCTCCCTCAACAGGCGGGTATGCTAAAGAGAACCGTTGGTAGCGCGAGAGACGTACGTTCACCTAAGCGGGTCTCGAGTCCCCAACGTTCGCCTCGCGGCGGCAACAGCTCCCCCCCCCCCAGGCTCAGGCGCGCGCTCGTGCCTGCTGCGAACAAGCCCGCCTCCCTCTCCTCAGCCACCCTTTTTCCTTCGTCCGCGGCTCTACTCACCATCTCGAACGGGTACTGCTTCTCCTCCTGGAAAGCGCTTCACAGACGTTGAAGGGAGCTCAATGGACGCCTTTCCCCCTCCCGATTCTTTAGCGGCGGCTTCCAATTCAAAACTGCGTCCACTCCCGCCTTCCACGATCCCTTTATACCCGACTCCAACGTCCTCGCATCCGGGAACCCGGATCGCGACGCCGGCCAATCGCGGCGAAGGGGCGGGCGCCTCTGCGCTCCGGGAGGGCCAATGGGAAAGCGGGGCGGGAACCAGGCCGCTTGTTCGG